TTGGGGCAATCTTTGTAATTTTCTATTCCTAGGAAGGTTTTGTTTTTGTTTGCAAAAATTTAGGGGTTTTCTAAATTTTTTCTTGCATCAATTTGTTATCAGAGCATAGGTTAGGATTTTCCTAGGTTGATTGTCTTCCTTTCTTTTAAAATAAAAAAATCGAAAAAGAAAGTCAAATCCATCAGCAAGCCGAAGTTCCGATTCATGTGGAAGATCTATCATCAGGATTGGCTCATTTAGCTCATAAGGGTATGTACTGAATTCAATCTCATCAGGAGATGAAATTTTTCAACCGGAGGAGAATTGATGTAGGCAAGGAGGGGGGGGGGTCAAAATATTTTGAATTATAAATTTGGTGAGCTTCTAGGTCCTCTGCTACAATCAGCTCATTAATGTCTAGTAGATAGCCTTTTTAGCTCATAAATTGAGGTTCATTCCCCACATTTGCTGTCCCTTTGGTTTCCCCACCCAGCTCTCCTTCCCATGACTGATTCCTCTCCCTTTTATTGTTGGTTCCGGTCCCCTTTGTTCCCATTCGATTCCCTACGTGGTTGCTGGTCCGGTTCATGTGCAGCCCCTTCGGTTTTGATGCGGACATCGGCACGAAGATTTGGCGCATCTATCACAGGAGGCGTCGTAAATCGACGGCTCTAATTTAAATTGTCATTTATGAGTTATTTTATGAATTTTAGCTCTTATTTTATGTTATTTCCTGTTTTACCCCTAGGTTAGCTTATTTGAGTGTTGTGGCCCAAGGGGCAATTTTGTAATTTTGATTTTCTCATGTTGTGGCTTATATATAGGGCCTTAAGCTATTGTAATAGGGATGAAGAATTGATATTAAGAATTTGTGTTCCACATTTGTGCTCTGGTGAGAGGACGTTAGTGAGATTCCTATGAGAGGAATCAAAGTTTTCACCAGCCGCAGGATGAGTCCGGGCTCGTGATTTGAAGTCCCTTGGAGAAGGGCAAAGCATCACCCGTCAATCTTCGGAAGAGTCTGAGGCTCGCGGTTTTTATTTTCTATCGTTTGTTTCGATCTTTCGTTCTATTTTTATTTTTGTTTTATCTCTTCTTTAATTGTTTTTCCGTTGTCTTTCTCCTCCCCATCTTCGTTTGGCCACCGAATTCATCTCCACCCGAAATTCCCCATACCCGAACCCCTGCCGCCGGCTCCACCCCCATTAGCCGCCGGCCGAACCTTCCTCTCCACCCCCTTTTGGATTTCCTAATTTGGTTGGGTTAATTTGGGGATTAATTTGAATTTGAAATTATTCAAATTCAAATTTCAAATTCTTTCCTAATTTGGTTCATCTATTTTAGGAAAGTACTTTATTAAAATCAATCTGAAATTTGAATTCAAAATCTGATTTATTGTCTCACTTTCATAATTCCTAAATTCAAATCTAAGAGCCTTAAATCACCTCATTCAATGCCCCCATGGTTCTTGCATACCGCCGGCTCCTCCCTTGAGCTTATTTCTCTTTGGAAAGATTTCAAAATCTGAGAACTTTGTTTGACCGAAAATTCCAAAGCCTAAAGCCATTCATAACTTTCCAAAACTGAGATTGAATTTAGGAGTTAATCTCTAAATCCCGTAACTCCCACCTGGCCACCATTTTTGGAAATTTTGCCAAAATCTGACTCCGCAGCCCCTAGCAGGAAATAATTCCAAATCTTCTTGCTTTTCTCCCTGGGCCGAAATCTGCATGATTATAGGTTTAATTTGTTCATAAAAGGTATATCCCCATCAGAGAATTAATTCAAGGCTTTTTCCCTGCCATTGCCGCTGCCCCTCCTCTTGTAACCTCTCTCCGTTAATTATTCTCCATCCAGAGAATAATTAGGAAGAAAGGAATTCAATTTCCAGCCATCCACTGGATTTAAAAGCTGAAGTTGAGTTTCCCGTATTGAATCCTCTTTAAGAGGTTTTCAAAAGTTTGAAATACAATTTGAGATTTGAAAAGTAGTTGTTGTCCAGGGATTTCCAACAATAATTCCTGTGCTGTTTTTCCTCTACAAACTTATAATACCCAAAATTTTCACCCATGTAAGCATATATATATTTTTTATTTAGAGCATTTTAACATCTACAAGTGCATTTAAATCACGAGCCTATAAATATGAATTAAGTGGTTTAACAAATCAAAACAGTATGAAAAATAAATGTCTTTAATCAGCCCTAATCTATTATGGCAGATTATTATGTAAATGTACTGTAACTGTTTCCATTACAGCTGTCCACTTATTTCACTTAAAAAGGCATGCAGCGGCTGATCTTTAATCCCACGGCTGATATTGGAGAATGAGTTAGTGGATTTGTTAATAATATTATATTATATATATAGATAAGCACTATAGCATTTCTGTTTAATCCTTCTCCTCTGGAGCTTCAAGCTGCTTTCCGCGAGAAGACCACGAGCTGGGAGACCTAGGAAGGGCTTTGGGCTGCTGCTTGCTGGGAAGAAAAAAAAATCAGAAAATCCGTAAGGTAAGAAGAGGGGAAGATTTGGGAAAGGGAAAGAAAATGATTGATGTTGTTCTTTGCTTGAGATGCTGCTGTTTGCTGGAAATAAAAGCTGAAATCAGAAATATGTATTGGAATCAATAAGGAAATTCAATTACTGATTGTTGAATTCTGAAAGCTGAATTCAGGTTGCAGAAATTAGGTGTTGTTGCTGAAATCAGTAAGGATAATAGAGGAAAAGCTAAATGCAGGTAATAAATCTAAAAGAAACATTAGTTGTATTTCTAGATTTTTTTTATGTTTCTTATATGGTATTTTGTGGAATAGTGTGTGAAATCAAGAAGGAAAAAAATGAAAGAAAAGCTGAAATTTAGTCATGATTGTTGTTATTATATGGCTGCTATATTGCCCGCTAAATATTTGTTGATATGTTAGGGAAAGATTTTGGTGAATGAAGAAACAGACATTTGAGACTGATTAAAAAAGGAAAGAAAGGCATAATATTATAGTTGAACCAATTGACAATGAGGTGAGGTACCCAACAATATATAGAAATAATAAACTGTTTAGGGAATCTAGACCCAACATTGAATTGAAAGACTAAAAATGGTGCACAAGCTTATAGACATCATATGACTGAGTTGTAGCTGTTAATTAGAAAAAAAAAAGAAAAAGAAAACAATGTTACGCATTTCTTACTATCAGTATGGAATTTCAATATGTTCTACCTATGTTATGTAATTCTTAATTGTTAAAAAAATGTTATTATTATTTCTTTTATATTGTTGGTGTATTTTCATTGAGCCCTAGCTCATTAGCAGTGGTTATACTGCAGGTAAGGGAAAGGAGCCCGTAGGGCACTAGGCGTGAAGGTTGATTGAAGTTTTTGTGTACAAACACTTTTGGGTATGAAATGTGATTTGAAAGTTTAGTAAGCTCTGTATTTTATTCGATGCATTTTAGAAGTGCTTCCAATTATGAAACATGAATTAAAATCTTAAGGCTTGAAAACTTAATATGTTGGGATGTTTGGGATAGACTATTTCCTACTCATCTTTTTATGATAGAAATATTTTAGGAGGGGTGTTAGTAAGAGATAGGTTTGTTCAGATTCTACTTCTCTGTTACACTCTATATTGATTGTAGGGGGGTCAAAATGGGGTGTGACAAAACTCCTCCCAAACCCTATCCCACGTTGGATTTCCTGCTCTACAAAGCTGCTGCCAGAAAAATTCCTGCAATGGTTTTTGGATTCTCATCAACTTAAAGCTTCAAACTGATGCTGCCCTGAAAATTTCCTGCAAAGGTTCCTCTCCCTAGCAAAGCCCTTTTCCGTTCTACATCAGGTTTCCTCCCTGGTTGATGTTTCCGTGGCTGTTCTCTGCTCCTTCCCGTGGTTGTTTTACCCGGTTCCTGTGCTGCCTTTTCGGGTGCTGTTATGGAATAATTGATGGCTATTTGGGAGCTATTTCTTGACTGTTTTTGGATTGTTTCTGGACTGATTGTTGGTTGGCTGTTTTGGCTGGCTGAAGTTGTCCTTTGGGCTCTCTTTTGGTGGTTGTTTGATTCCCCTTTCTTTACCTATATATATATGAGATGTTTGTGGATGTTTTAGAAGGGTTGTGATGTGATTTTTGGATAAAACCTACGGGTTTCTTTGGAATAGCCTTTGAGCTATGTCCTCTTCCTCTTTTCTTCTCTATAGCTTGCGAGCTATGTTTCGTCTTGGCTTCTAACCTCTTTCTTCTATCCGCAAGTTCGATGTCACATGTTTCATCTCAAGGAATGCAAGTTTAGGAGCTTTATCGTCTAAGTTTGTATGCGTCTAAGCGTCTTGTAAGCGTCCTTTGTTGTAAGTGACTTTTATATTATCTAAGTTTGTTTTGCCTAATTTGTCTATTTTGTGGCAATCTTTGTAATTTTCTATTCCTAGAAAGGTCTTGTTTTTTTTTGCAATTTTTTGCTTGCATCAGCTTTGATCACACAAGAAGTTTATGATTTTCACAATATAGATTCTCTCAACTGTATCCATACTAAAATTCGATAGTTTTGATCACACAAGTTTATAGTTTTCACAATGCAGATTCTCTCAACTGAATCCATACTATAATTCCAAATTGTGTAGATACTTCATAGCTTTCCAAATAAAGCTCAACCTATCAGAGTTGTAAGAAATGAGGATGACAACATGAAATCAATTAGTTGGCTAGGTATTAACCTAACTTGGCGCATATAAGGCCACTTGTATAAAGCAATCAAATAAAAAACTATGAAATCCTAGATTAAAAGAAACCCCATGCACTGTACACGCCTAGCAAAAAAAGATTGAATCTAGATATAATCATGTATACTTTACAGCATAGCGAAAAAAATAAGTATTTGAAAGCATTTGTTAGATAAACGCTAAAACTTTTCTTTTAGGATTAAACTTTAAGGTTATAAGCTTCCTCACTAATCAATTAGAAAAAGATGATATAACTTGAAACACCAATTCATCTAAAAATTCCACAGCACACCCAGTTCAGAACTTTACCATTTGCTTCAGGGACATTTCTCAACGCGAGTGCAACAGCTTTTATGACAATGTCATTAACTGAAACTTTCACATTATGTTGTTCTGCAAGTTGAAATCAGAAATCCGTCCTTTAAAGACAAGAACAATGCACCGGTACTAAGTGAGCATTAAAGGGTATGCACCAGAAGACAAATCGGGTTGTTCAATAAAAAATAAATTAACTAAACAATTTTGCTATACTTCTACATACCTCTAAGTTCGGTTCTAAATGAAAGTAAAGGGTCCAGTATTACGTCTGCTTAAAAACTATAAATATTCAGAAATAAATCAAAAGTTAACCACAAGCAAGAAAAAATTCATCAAAGCAAATGATCATAAGGAACCTGAAGATAAATAAAAATGAGGGGTGTTTTGTTTTGATTCCAGCAACCGCTTTGCAATCACCTGCAAGCGACCAAAAGAAATTTGATAAATAACCAAATGCAAATGTTGCGATGATGAGTTGGTATGGAGTCCAATTAAAACAAATGGAGATATTAAGGCATCGGTGAAGTTCCATCTTTTTGTTTGAACTCATTAAGGATGTCACACTATCAATTTTATAAAATTTAAGACTCATTAAGAAATTTCAAGATGTTCTAATGTCTCTGTCCTAAGGATAGTTAGTATAAAATTAAAAAAGAGACTTCCGCCTGCAATTTTAAGAAAGTTTCAATTCTAACTTCATTTAAGCCTCATATTAGGACATTTCAAGATAATCCAATTTAATTTATCTACATTATACATTTATGCTTTGTTTGGCAGTTCTGCGATGTTGTTGTGTTGTGCTTTTTGGTAATAATAATGGACCTATTAATCTCATAGGAGTAGACAAGCCTCTCTGCAAATATATTATCCACGGCCGTGAAGCCATGAACGAGATACACAAACCTTAGGGCTATTTTCATCAAAAGACTTCCTTAAAACAAAAATTGTGATATGTCGGATTTTTTCAAATGCAAAGCATTTGAAAGTCATTGAAAATGAGGACTCAATATGTCCTCACAGTTCAATATAGCGTGCAAACACAGATGCATACACGTGGCACACTAAACAACTTAAGATAGGCGGGACTGACTTCAACAAAAACTGTAGTGTTTCCAATTGAGTGGCAAGGAATAACGACGGATGCAATGATAGAATCATATATGCTCTAGCCTTTTAATAGATCTAATATGGCAAGGGCAACATGGTGTTATAATTTGACTTACTGTTATCCAATAATGGAAATTGGAAGGTCTCCCAAGCTCTTAAGTTTTTTTAAGAACCCCCTAGTAATGTGTAATCTACCTTTGGCAAAAAAGGGGAAGAATTTCTTGAGGAATAACTAGTATTTACTTTGATATGTTTTCATTTAATATTTCAAAGACTGGATGCACCAACAAACCAGTTCTACCTCCTGCTAACATTTGCATGGAATTGCTAAAATCAATTGAAGTTAAATTTGGACTTCTAAGGTCAACCAAACTGCAAATGATTTAATTTTGTCAATGTTCACTTGTACTGACTCACTAGCCAAACCATCCAATGTTTATCAAGTTATACATAATTGCTACATCAATAAACCACAAAAGGTTTATGCTAGTAAAAAATAACTGGTACAGATTGGTCTCACAAAATAGGTAAATCCTTGGTCAAATTCAGCATAGATGACCATTTCCCGAAATACAGCCAAAATTAAAATATAATGTGGTGGGTTTGATATATAAGTACAGAAAACTCTATGATGCAGCTTATAAAAGGTCTAGGATTTCCTAATAAAATTAATGATGCGATAAATTAATTTCAAGCACGCAAAGTTAAAATTCATAATTCACTAACCACTAATTAAAACAATTAGTCACTTTACTTTGATGCAATCAACAAAATATGCAAAATTCACAAAAATGATAATTAACTATACTCTAATTTTAGAAATTCAACCGAAAACTATTAAATTTATGCTTCAATCATGATTTATGTTTGTACTCATAAATCAAATTTATAGTAGTTTTAACTAAAACAATCACACTAGTAAAAATTAATCGCAAAATGTGTTGAAAAAAAAAATATATATAACAATGCAATGAATAACCAAATAAGTTATTCAAGCTTCGCGCTATCACATGAAGATGATTTCTCCTGAAAATTAGCAATCAATGCTTATTGCACTCAGAAGAATTTACATCTAAAAGTATATGAGTTTGAGAAGAAAGAGAACATTTTATCAAACAATCACTTAGTTTTAAAGCCCAGAAAAATTCATATTTAAAACCATAAAATCACAAAATAAGCAATATGGCTATGGCTAGATACCAGAAAGAAATAATTCGCACACTCAACATCAAACAATAAGGATAATGCCTAGATGGAAACCATGCCAATTCCCAACCGCACATGCATTCCCATGACACAAGTCCCACGCCAGATGATGCTGAAAGTAAGCTTCATGATCAATAGTTCCAATGAGAAAAAGGATATATCAAAGACAAACAGGGAAATCATGTGATTTATGCACATGGGAGGTTACAGGATTGAATAGGAGCAACTATAGAGACTAGGTTTGCATGGGGTCATGTAGGAGATGTGGAAGTACGTGGTAGCAATAATGGATTCCAAGTGTGTGCGGGGCCATGTGGAAGACTTGGAACTAACTTGGGATCAGAGGAGGGTGGTTAAGCATCCCCTTCAACCTAAATAAGATGATAATCATATATAAAGAATTAGAACATGAAACTAAGGAAAACAAAAGAAACAAAAAGGCCGAAGTCTTTAAAGGAATAAATTTCAGACGATTCATAGACTCAGTAATTGCTCGCAAATCAAAGCCTATAGCAAAGCTATCAAATAATAAACAACAATGTGGATTGAAGAGGACTGGTAACAATTACTAAATATTAAGGAAAATCTGGAATTCCTTGCATAAGGACTTTAATACGTCAGCTGAAAGGTACAGAAACTAAACTAGTAAATAACTCTTTCAATGTTGGGTATTATAGTTGATATGAGAAAAGCCATCTTTTGAGGCCTAACCTGGCATGAAAGATTCGGAAAGGGGCAAACCTAGTTGTTTGTTTAGTATTGGGTATTCTATCAATGTAGGGGTGTCAATATTTGACACGACACGACAACCCGACCCGGACCCAACCCGGAAAATCCGGGTTGGACCCGACCCGTTTGATAAACGGGTCGGGTTCACAGATTTGACCCGTTTAATCAAACGGGTCGGGTCGGGTTGACCCGGCGGGTTACCGGGTCAACCCGTAAACCCGTTTAATTTAAAAAAATAAAGAAATGTTTCTGTTCAAATGAGCTCCCCGATGCTCATTTAATGGATTACTCAGCCACTCCATAACAAGCTCCTTATCCTTGCTGACTTGCTCCGCCCAATGAGATCATTTTTACTTTTTAGGCAAGGATCCTGTTCACGTGCTCCGAGCTCCGTGCAGCTCAAGCTGCTGCTTCTGAATCTCTGAAGCTCCTTCCCCAAAAAAAAAAAAATCTCTGATGCTCCTGCTTTGCGTGTTTTACAAGATGAAGGAAAGTATCAACACCAATTGTTGCAACTTTATCAAGTTTCTGCACAGCCGTCCGTCTCCAGTCGCTTCAAGATGGGATCAATTTTGAGAGCATGTTTGCCAAATTTGAAAAAAAAAAAAAAAAGATTGGAAGAACGCTGCCGGGTCGCGGGTCGGGTCGGGTCAACCCGGCCGGGTCGGGTCCGGGTTGAAATGTCCGACCCGTTTGTAAAAACGGGTCGGGTTCGGGTTGCCCCGTTTAGATACGGGTCGGGTCGGGTTCGACCCGAACTCGGCGGGTTGACCCGAATTGACACCCCTATATCAATGTTGACATTAATACAAACAAAAACTCCAAAAGATTACAATTCAGGAATTGTTGCTGGTCGACAACTGATACTATCGTTATAATTGAGCAAATAAGAAAGGTACATATCGGAGAGTAATTTCATTCAGGACTTAATGTGATAGGAAACACTTGCGTTCGCAAGCAACCTAACCAAAATCGGCGAACATTCAACAGCAAAACTGCTGTCCACAGCCGGAAAACAACATAAATCTGCTGTTTACAGCAGAAAAACAGCAACACCACAAGGAAATCTGAGAGAAAACTCAAAGAAAAGCTTGTATTCCACTCGTCGATGAATAAAATAGCAAGATACAATTGATCCTCATGAATTCGAGAGGAGGATCGTTCTCTCCCAAATCTCTGGCAACGCCAAGAGCCCAAAAAAACCTAAATCTAAGCGATCTCAAATTTCAGCCAAATTCAAGATGATCAAACCCTAGGAAAATCTACTATTTAATGCATACAAATCAAAAGGAATTTCCTAAACAGTCCCTACATTCAAATTTCTCTCTCAAAACGCTCAAAAAAAACTTCCTAAACGGCTCTACGGGGGCAGACGGCCGCTCGTTCTCCGCCAAAGGCGGATTCTCCGCCTGTTCGCGATTTCCGCCTGTTAACAGGTCCCGGCTGGACCGGTCTAACATAATGCTTACAGGAAAAGAAGGTTTAGATATTCAGCATGAAAGCAATCGGAAAGAAAAAATCTTGTACGGGTACTAGCAATAGGATCAAAAAAGAAGAAAGAATAACACATTTCATACACTGCAAGTTCGCAGTGAATGGAAATATTTTTTTTTTTTATGATTGTTCCACACATACAATAATACTACAATCATCAATTAGAATAAGCTGTTCCAAAGTAAACAGATTATGGTTTTAGTAGAGAAAAGAAAGGCGGATCTTACAGGGAACATCCATTACCTTGACAAAACTCATCAATCAATATAATTCAATTACAGGACTAATTCTGGAGTTCACAAATTGGCCAGATTAATGCTTAAAGAGGAATAATTTTGGTGAAAATTCAGAGCTCAAGCTGTAATACTTAACAATCTACGAGCCTCTAAAAGGAATGACACTTCTAGATATTAAGAACCTGATTAGATTACCCTCTTCGTACATGATCAGTGTGATGACCAAGATCAGTACAACAAGACATACAAGGAACCAAATGATTCGTTTAAAAAAAGAAGTTGAATTTAATGATTACTTTGAAATTTCTCTTGCTTCGTTTTAAACAGCACTTGAGGTGAAACTTTAACATAAATATAAATACAATAAACCTTAACAGCATATCTGAACACAAGTGCAAACAAAAGACATCTATCTATGTAAAATCAATTTGAAAATAATGCAAGATTCAGAAAAAACAACACAAACTTTCCAAGCTCATGAATTCTTGGAAAAGTCGAAATAATTAATAGGAAAGTTAGAAGTCTGATTTTCCAGGCATTCTACAAAAGTATGATGGTTTAGAAGCATGCAGGGAAGCAAAGAACATACCTTCCGTATTTGGCTATTTTGCAAGTCTTCATAAGCAAATGTGATACGTGAAAGGGTTTCAGATGAAGATGATGAAGCTGCAGTTTGCTTGAAAGCATGTACTGATGTTGAAGTTTTCTTGTCAGATGATTGACTTGTTTGTTGAGATCCACCTCTAACCTTGATTAAGGCCAACACATCACCTTTCAATAGAGTGCCGCGAGGACCCGATGCCTTTAAAGAAGATACATCTATTCCATGCTCTGCAATAAGCAGCTTTGCAGATGGGCTGAATCTACTGATATTTGTCTGATGGCTGTTAACTTCCTGTTCTTTGGGTTCCACATCCTGAACTGGTTTTTCCTCTTTAACCTTAAAACCATTCAGTGTTTCTGCAGATATATCTTTAATTTCATCTAGATCTTCAACCTTGAAAATGAATCCAACAACAGTTAACACGGAAAATTTTTACAAATGAGCAAGGTGGCATAAATAATACAACAACAAAATTAATTTAGCAAAAAAATATACCGTTATTGCAATGGGTTGCCCAACACGAACATCCTTAGAGCCTTCCGGAGTTATTATCTTTGCTAAGTAACTGCACAGGTTATACCAGACAAATAAAATGAAGTCCAAGAAGAAAGAAATTTAATTAGGATACGAATGCTGGGTATCTATTTAAGGAAAGTTGGTAGTGCAAAATCGTCAGCTTCAACCATCAGATAATCAAACCCACTAATTATCTCAAAGCAATAAGGAAGCCAAATTGAAATTTAAAAAAAAAAAAATTGTATGAACTGCCGTCTCCAATGAACCTCAGGATTAGCTATCAAGATAGCATGGTTTTGAACTCTGTCACATTTTTTGAAGCATTTCGTCAGATTAACACCATGTAATTTAAATCTAAAAGATATCCTTCCAAGTCTTGTCTAGCAATATGCCTGCAGAACCGCTATGGTTCTCATAATCTGCTCTAGTATGTTTTATAAAAGAAATCACCAGAGATGAAAAACCAAATAGCACACATGGCTTAGTTGTCCTACAAATCAAGTGAAATTTAAATTCATGAAGCGAGATCAATGATTACTCACACTAAGCACATTACATATCCGATGAGAACTGTTAAAATCCAGCCGTTCAACACAGATAAGATCCAACGGCTATATTGCATGATCCGTGGGACGCATGACTCACGCCAGAATTCTTTCTATGTTCGGGTAGCTGATTTAGGAAGGATTCTATTAGAGTTATTACGTAATTATTTGTTTTTGTATTAAGATTTCTTGTATAGATCTATAAATAAGGAAGAAATCATGGAATAAAGAAAGCCCTTTCTTCTCAAACATCTTATTTTAAACATGGTATCAGAGCCAACGGCCTTCATTGCCTTTATAGAACGATCATAGATCATCCGAGAAGGAAAAGAAGAAGAAATCAAAGCCTTGCTGACCGACGTCGAAGCAGGGTGTTGCTAAAGAAGCAGAAGCCCTAGCCGACCAGAAGACTCGTACCAGAGATACACAACCTTCATTGTCGTTGAAGAACGATCGCAGATCGTCGGTCCGTCGTCCAAGCAAGCTTCGAGATTTTAAAGAATCTCACTTGGAGGAAGAAAAGAAGGAGAAGAAGAGACTTGAGCCTTGCCGACGCTACCAGGCAGACGCCGCGGACGTTCGGGACGAAGTCACCCAAGAGAATCGCAAGCAGGACTGATCCCATCTAGAAGAATCGAACGCAAGAGCCGAGATCTGTAGATGACCAGGACAAAGCCCTTGCGGACGGAGCTTGCCCCAGACGAATGACAAAGCTTACAAAAGAAAAGGCCGAAGCGAAGACGCACTGGCGAAGCAGCTCGAACGCTTGGAAGAAGAAGTTGTTCACTGACGCTCGATTCGATCGGAAGCTCCTTCTGATTTCCCCGATTTGCTCGGATCCGGAGAGAAGGATGGGACTGTATCTCAGGTAGCTGGGATGGGCCAACAGCAACAATACTTACAAAACCAGATTGGAGACCTGATTAAGACCTAAAACCAACATTTATTGCTGAATCAGCCTCTATTGCTGACATAATCAGGTTTTATTGCTAGTATAACCACAATTTCTGAAGAAAACTCATCCCAAAGCTTCAATAAAAAATACATTGCAAGACTCAAACAACTCCTGATATCCCTTGAAAAACCACCTACATCTCCCTCTCTTCCACTTTCATGTAACATTCTCATAGTCACTAGATTAAGCACCTCTAGAAATCATTCGAAAGGAATATGGATCATTGACTCAGGAGCCACGGATCACATGACAAACTCTACTACCACTTCATGAATTATGATCCTTGCCCAATAGACAAGAAAATCATCACTGTTGATGGTTCTTTTGCAAAAGTAGAAGGCCAAGGAGACATACCCTTATCCTTTTCTCTCACTCAAAAAAATGTGCTCCATGTTCCTCAATTATCCACAAATCTTATATCCATACAAAAACTTACCAGGGACCATAATTGCTAAGATTTATTTAACCCTACTTTTGCTTATTTCAGGACCAGGGATCAGGGAAGATGATTGGACTTGCTAAGGAGAGAGGTGGACTGTACTACCTAGAAAAGCTAAACAAATCTAAAAATATAGCTACTCTATGTTATCCATAGTTGATAAGAAATCTACTATTTGTTTTAATCACTTCAGATTAGGATATCCATCAGCAGAAGTCTAGAAACACATTTATCCAAAACTTTTTCATAAATTGAAAAATGAAAATTTTCATTGTGAAACCTGTGAATTAGCCAAACATTAAAAAAAAATCTCTTTACCAAACAAGAATGAGATATGCAATACTCATTTCCATTTCATTCATAGTGACATATGGGGACCCTAAAAAATCCCCAACATATGTGGGGCTCGTTGGTTTGTATATTTCATTAATGACTGCACTCGAGTTTCTTGGATCTATCTCCTCAAAAATAAATCTGACGTTAGCACCATTCTTCCCATTTTTCACACCATGATCCAGAATCAATTCGAGATTTTGGTCCGACAATGCTAAAGACTACAATCAAACCCTACACTCTTACTTTCAGAGTGAATGTATCATCCACGAGTCCTCATGCGTTCACACCCCACAACAAAATAGGGTTGCGAAAATGAAAAAATGGTCACCTCCTAGCCTCCACTCGTGCCTTCCTACTCCACCACACTATACCCAAATCCTACTGCGGATAAGCTCTCCTAACTACCACCTACATCATAAACCGACTACGGTCAAAAACCTTGGGGATGAAATCTCCAATGGATATTTTTGTTCTCTTTTTACCCTGAGTTTCAAACCCATAATAACCTTACACCCAGAATCTTTAAATGTACTATCTATGTTCACATCCATGGTCAGAACAGAGGAAAACTAGATCCAAGGGCACTCAAATGTATCTTCATTGGATACACTGGATACTCTGCCACCCAAAAAGGGCACAAATGTTATCACCCCCCTACAAAGAAAATGCTTGTATCCATTGATGTCATTTTTTTATGAACAAAACTCCTACTTTACCAAACTTCATCTTCAAGGGGAGACTGAAACAAAGGAAAATGATGAAAGTATTCTTGGCCCTCTTAACTTTCCTCCACCACATCAAACCAATCCTCCTGAAATTCAAAATAGGGAAGCTGAAGACAAAACAATCCTTAGATTTGGGAAGGTATATTCCAGGTGTACAAGTTCAACCTGCGCTCCGAAGCAGATCCAAGAATCTAAACCATCTCCTAAAAGTAAGCTAGATTCTCCACCTCCCTTATACCCTATAACCAACTCTATATCCTTCAATATTTTTTTCTCCCCGCACAAAAACTTCTTGGTTACACTAAATGATATTCATATTTCTAATGATATTTATTATACACTATCTAATAAGAATTTGAAAAAAAAAGCCATGAAAGATAAAATACATACCCTAGAAAAGAACAAGACATGGGAGATAATCAATCTACCGACAGGAAAAAAACCAGTCGGTAGCAAATGGGTGTTCTCTATAAAATTCAAAGCTAATGGCACACTGGAAAGATACAAAGCAAGACTAATGGTGAAAGAGTATACTCATACATATGGCATTGACTACCATGAAACTTTTGCACTAGTAGCCAAGATGAACACTGTCAGAATTCTACTCTCAATAGCAGCTAAGTACAATTGGCATCTAGAACAATTGGATGTAAAAAATGTATTCCTATATGGGGATCTGGAAGAAGAAATATTTATGGAAATACCACCAAGATTTAAAGAAAATTTTGGAGGTAACTATTAGGTCAGCTCCTGAACCGACCTAGCCGGCCCCGCATTGGCCGACTTTAGTCTGCAAGAGGTGGGTCAAACCGCCTCCCATGTTGCCACCCAAGCAATAGGGGCCCACGCCCTATTTGATTGCCTCCCATTAAAAGTGGGGGCCATTATTTGAATTAATCTACTTAAATTAATCTATTTTTGGCAAGGAGATTAATCTATTTTTGGCATGGAGTGTGGGCAGCGAAGGCTATAAATGAAGGCCTAGTAATTGGATTTGAGCGTGTTAAGAGCGATTATAAGGATTGCCTTGACTTTAAGGAAACATATTCCTTTCTGATGACTGGGGACAAACGAATAGTTAATGACCTTTTTCTTGAAGATGGGTATCTATTCAAATCCTAGAAGCTTTGTATCCCTAACACTTCCCTATGGGAATTCCTCAAGTGGGAATTACATGCGGGAGGTCTAGCCGGGCATTTTGGTCAAACAAAAAACAATGGCCTCTGTGGAATATCGTTTTTACTGGCCTAGCCTTAAACGTGATGTAAGTAAGTTGGTTGAAAGGAAGGTGTAATACTTGTCAGCTAACCAAACAACGAAAACTAAACACAGGTCTCTACACACCCCTCCCTGTCCCCAATTGCTCATGGCAAGACTTAAGCATGGATTTCATACTAGTGGTACCAAAAAGATCTAGGAAACAAGACTCTATATGCGTTGTAGTTGACCATTTCTCAAAGATGACCAATTTCCTTCCTTGTTCCAAGACTTCTGATGCTTCTCAAATAGCCAAACTATATTTTGATGAGATTGTTAGATTGCATGTCTTTCCTAAAACCATAGTGTCTAATCGGGACGTCAAATTTACTGGTTAGTTTTAGAAGACCTTATGGCATAAGATGGGAACGAAATTCCAATTTTCCACCACCTTTCATCCATAAAATGATGGGCAAACAGAGGACGTTAATAAGAGCTTAGGCAACCTCTTAAGAACTTTGGTAGGTGAACACGTTCGAGATTGGGACTCCAAACTCCCGACGGCTGAATTTGCATATAAAACTCTATTAATTAGACCATGGGCCTAAACCCTGCTAAAATTGTGTACGGGTACCAACCTAGGCAACCTATAAATAAGATTAGAACATTTGAGTTTGCATTTGCATTTGCATCACATCTCCAGGAATTGCATAAGGAAATTAATAAAAAGATTGAACAAAACAATGCTAATTATAAACTTAATGCAGATCTTAAGAAATGATTTAAAGAATTCGAGGTTGGAGATTTTGTAATGGTACGGATTTGTTCGGAACGGTTTTCACATGGGGTCGT